TTTCGTAAATAATTCTCTGAGGATCCAGCGATAGGCGTCCTTAGCCGGGTGAATAACTCGGGGGCTTCTTTTTTGGCGGGCATTTGTCCCCAAATAATTGGGCGGAACGGCGCGCCGCGTCTTCTCTGCAATTATAGGCAGTAAACGTAGCCACATCCGGTACAAACAGCTTTTCTAGCTGAAGTGGGATAATTCGCTGCGGAAAGACAACGATTAGGGCGATCAAAGAGAGGAGAGAGAAAGAGAGGAGGTAACTCTGTGTGTCTTTGCCGGATGTAGTTAAGGAACGGCGGAACAAAAATTGAATGGTGAAAGAACGGAAGGATTGATCTTTCAACGTGTCCATTTTGTGTAAATTATCCCTACGTATACCGTAACGCACACTCGAAATATTGAAATTGAAAAATCATTTGGACAACGATGCGTAATATTCTCGTAATTTGGTGTTTCGGTCAATAAAAGTAGTACTATTGTGAAATTAAAAAACGCTACATTAAGAAAAATTATTCGGTGCAAATAAAATCTCTTTGCAGGCAATTTAACTTCAAATTTTCTTCATTTTTAACAATACAGGAAATGGCTATTTTATCTTATATGCGTAAAATTGTAACTTTAAATGGAAACTAAGATTTTCCTTCATTCCCAAAATACTTGGTTACTAATTTCTTTCTTAGAAATTTTACCGCTAAATCGAAGAAAGGAACGCCGATAAAATTTGACAGTGTCTTGCCTGAGGAACCAATTTGATTCTACGGAAAATGAATTTCACGGAATCGGTTTCTATAGTTTCTAGCACACCGTCAACGAGTGTTGCTACTCTGTCATTTCGTGCTCTCTCCCTTCCTCCCGCAACCGATCCACAACGAAATTGCACCGTTTCAAACTCCAAGGGGCGAGAGATGTTACAATGTGAGAGCAATCCGTAACAGCTGGTAACACGCGAAACTTCCGGTTCTTTCGTAACCTCGTCGATCCTAGCCTGTCGATTACGAGAACAAACGAGACATATTTCCCGCCGTTCGAAAAAGGGTCTTTACTCGCAAGAGGAATCGTCGTTAAAATTGCTCGCTGGTTCACGTAGTCATATAAATTTATTCTGTGCGATACAATTGAAAAAATATATACAGTGTGTACCTTATAAAACGTACCGGGGATCGAAGAAATAAATTCGTCGCTGGTAAACTGTGTATGTAGCTCCCGTTTGTGAGAATCAGAAGAACAGTCCAATTTCACGGATAAAAATGATCGTCTGTGTGAAAAAGAACAATTTATTCGGATTATTTATCGTATCGTTTCTTAAGTTCTTTTTCTTATTATTTATATTAACAGGAAATACTACGCGAAAAAGAACAAACGAAACGGTATTCAGCGTTGGACGTCGTAACAAAGAAAAATTGCATAGTAATATCGGTCAATAAATGTATATACCTGTTAAAAAAATAAACATTTGTTTAACAAATAAATATTAGCCAAGGTGTTTCGTGATAATCTATCGTGAGTTTGGATATTATGAGTTTTGTGAAGTTCATACAATCAACGTATACGCGTACCAGTTAAATCATCTATATATATGTATATATATATGCATTATTTCCATTTGTCATTATATACAACGTTACACGTACTTACATAACATCACATCGTTCGCTATGATCGATAATCTACTTACTGTTGCTCTTAACTTAAATACGTGTCCTAACTAGATGACTTACACGCTCTATTTCGATGACGACGACGAATCTTAAAATGGTAGCGATACATTTATAATATAGGTACTCTTAACCATCTCCAGGTTAACAATTCCATTTGTTATCATCTACTATTTTTATATTTAGCAAATTTTATCTACCATTTTTAAGTAAAATAAAGATTTTTACAAATGGCCACGCTGTTACATTTGGTGAATTTAACTGTTTGAAAATTATGTTGGTAATAAAGGGTTTTCCCCTTTTCGAAGAATTTCGTTAAATTCGGCTGGAGAGGGTTAATTACGTTTTACGTTTCCTGTGTACGTCTAAGAAAATAATATGTACAAAGTTCATGGTATGTGCGTGCGCGTGTGTGTGTGTGTGTATACCTATATATAATTATGCGTGTAAATTTGTGTGTATCTGTATGTATATTCGTTTAATGTTCGAAACGAAACGCCGTTGTTCGTCAAGTCGATCGCAAAAAGAAGGAAAAAAGAACGGATTAATATCGTACATACATCTTAATTATATTTAATTACAACTATCGCACTAGTATATACACAGATATGTTGCATCGATCTTTCGATTAAGTTGCACATCATTCGCGGAATGTACCGAAGAGGATATTTCAGGCCAGCAGTAAATATACTTTATATACGTCTCCGACGAATTTTGAGTTATTGCTGTTGTCAGCTACTGCAAAGGCGAAATTCAACGATAACCTGATTTTAACCCTTTCGACAATTAGATCTTTCATTTTTTGCACCATAGAGGATATTTGAAATTATATTGAAATAAGTTAATACCGATGAAATAATTATGAAAGAAGTCACGAGGTCTCGAAGAAGCAAGTCTTAAATAAATTTGCCGTTTCCGTTTTCAAGGGCTTCTTGTTTTCACATTAGAAATTTAATATTTAAAAATAAGTATTTTATTTTGCAACTATAACTAGGCTGTTTCTTATATTATGTTATTTGTAAGGAGTAAGGTTTTAAAATGTGGCCCCAGTTTGCACCTGATGTGTCCTTACGCCAGATAAAATTGGTTCACCAATTAAATTCTATTATCGTGAAATTAAAACAGAAAATAGAAACGTTTTTCTTTTTTTTCGAATAAAAATCAACACATTAAACACTTGCTTCGTTTTCAGATAGTTACGAAGTCTCGGATCAAAAGTTTCGATATGTTTAAAAATGAAAAACAACTTTGACGACGATTCGCTACTATAAAATGAATTAAAATACTGGCAAGGTATCATAAATCGATTTCTATCGAAGGAACACGACATGCACTTCGAGATCTCCGTTGTCTGTTGTCAAAAAGGGCTAACGCGATCGTAAATCGAGGAATTTCGTGAAATTCGAAGCTGTCCGGATTTCACCTGCCGCGTCTGTCTTCACCTTTCCTCTGTGTTTCTACTTCCTTTCGGTGTCCCTGCGTATCTTGTCTATTTGACGAGGGTAAATTCTTCTGAAGTGTGCACACAAGGGGTGACGGTGAAAAAAAATTCGTAATTATTTAAGTTTCTTCTTTAGCTTCCTATCAGTCCTCTCGGTTCGTTAATTAAGTACGTCGATAGAATTGGCCGCCATGACGGGTGATATTATCTAGGAATAGCGCAATTAAGACGACTGCTGATCTCCGATGTTCCTTTTCGTTCGATCTCTGTGACTTCCTTTTACTTGTCAATAATGTCACGTCAAATAATGCCACAGTAATTATCTCTTCTTCTGAGACGTTTTCTAAAAATGATGTGTGTGTGTGTGTTTGTATGTTTGTGAATATGATAAATTCGTAGGATCGGGAAATTATCGCGTGGTTAGTCTTGAAATTGCTCGAATTATCGCAATGATCGTTTTGTCGCTTCACCGTTGAAATTAAACGAGATTGATAGAAATAAGCAAAGTTTCGTCTTCTGACATGTCACAGATTTTGTTCAAATTCTTCTCTCACTGTCTGTTGATTTTTAATTTTCCTTTTCGTACAATATCTCGCGTAATAATTGTCAATTATATTTGAAAACTTTTTATATAAAATTTTAAGTATTCTAATTTCATTAGAAATTACATAAAGTGTTTCTTAGATTGTAAATATACGATTTCCAATTGTTTCTCAATCACAGATTTTCATCGTTACGATTTTGATATCAGTTTTCATTGAGTAATGCGGAAAATGAGATTTTCCAGTAATTTTTCTTTTTATTTCTCCTTGAGAAAATGACAAATAAATAAATAGAATTGTTGGAACTTTAATTAAATTATTATTTCCCTATTATCTGTAATTAACCGTTTTTTGTATAACACTGGTCTTTAAAGATATTAAATCGTTTTATGGCACAGTTACGATATATCGGGAGTTTTATTAGCCTTACACGTTTAATGCTTCAATGAAGAAGACTTTTTGTAATTACTACGTATGAACGATCACAACTTTTTTGCTAAACAATACTTGCTTCTGTATTTATCGAGATGTCTGATGAGATCACGGATAAATCAGTGTAAAAAACGACAGATCTGGTGTAATTTACAAATAGAATCGATCAGTTAAATTATAATTGCACGACATCTGTTTTAGATCGATTAATCGATTACATCTGTTTCTTCTATTAATTCTTTAAGACTTAATTAACTGCTAATCGTTCGACGATGTTTTGTTGAGTTGTTCTTTATACTGTATTCTTTCACAAAAATCTGCTATTTCATACGGAAACTTCATTGTATTAAAAACAACACATTAAATAAACCTATAAGGTATATATGCAATCTACTTTGCAGTAGAAAGATTAATAAATAATTTTTTTACTTCGCATAAGAATACTTCGCTGTTTCTTTTCACGAAATTGAAACTCATTTTATCTTCGAAAATAATGTTAAGGGACATCGATAAAATTAAATATAAACGATTGAGATATTATCCCGTATCGACCAATCAAGTAGGAACAAACTAAAAAAAAAAAGAAAGAAATGCAAGTAAAACGCCGTAGAATTCGCAGGTACAGAGATCAAACGAAAAGAAGCAACAAATAACTGCATATCCTCACTTTTTCCTCCAACGATTAATCCTTCAAACTCGAATAACTCAATTCAAAAACGAACGTCGTTGCAAACTTCGAACACGATTTCCGGAAAGAATAGAAAATTGAATAATTACCAGTTTTACTGCATGAACAATTTTCAATGCTTCGTTTCAACGATGCTGGGAGTATTTATTTTCTGAGTCGCTATGAATGTTGTAGAAATCGTGACGCAATTATAGTACGTAATAGGTTCACTCGGTAAGTGTCTTTGGATTCGCGTCGATCGTCAAGGTTCAGCAAATTGGTTCGGCCAGAGGTTGCGGTGGGCCGTACGGGGAAGCCCACTGACTTACAGGGTGGGTCAGAGCGTTGGCTGCTTGCTGTCTATCCAAACTGGACACGGTGGTTCCCGCTGGATGGCTTGGCACCGTTGTTGGATAAGCCACTTTCCCAAGCGCTTCAGCTTGAAGGGACAACATCAACCGATTCGCCGCCTGCCTCTCAGCCTCTCTTTCCTCTGCTGTTTGCCTCCTGAAACAGTTGGTAAGACTGAATATGATCGAGCGTTCTCCATAAAAACGAAACATTCAGACGACGAATTCAATGTTTGTAGTAAAAAGTAATTCGAATTACCGACAATAGCTTAGAACGTAATACTTTTTCATTCGTCTCTAACACAAACTTACTAGATTCAATTTAGTGAAAAATAGAAAAAAGCACTAGCATATAGTGTTGGTGTTCTAGGTTATGTTGCGGTAAAAAAATCGGTCAGTTGAAATTAGCGCGTTTTTGTATTGTTGTGTTTGCGTAGTTTTTCGCGGTAATTACGGACTATTGCTTGTTTATTAAGTATACACAGCTCGTGCGATCGGTCCGGTTAAATAACAGGGAGCTGGCTGAGTGCCGGATAAACATAAAACGAGACCGGGGAAATCGACCGAGAGAAGCCAGGGATGAAAAGAGACTGGCGGTTGTTGGGGCGGAAAACAGAAGACAAACGTAATAAAGTTAATTCGATTCGTCAGTGGCACAGCGCTAGTTCGCTAAGGGGTGGTTGGAGGGTGTCTGTTTTCTAGCGCTAACTCTATTAGGGAACCACAAAATGGCCGACTTGTTGGCAACGTCGATGGGCCGCTTATATGGAAGCTTTTATCGAAACATTTTATTCCTTCGTGAACTCTTTCACAATTATTTGTCAGGACGAATTTCATCAAATTCTAATCGTGTTTTATTTTACACCTGCGTCAGTGTTATTCTACTTTCGGACAATTATACAGGGTGTGCCTGAAAAGGGATAAATCTATGTGAAAAAGTAAGTTGAAAATGTAGAGTTTTTATATTAGAATCTTCTTTGAGAATTCCGAGAATTCTTCTTTGTATAAGAGTTATTTAAAACGTGAAAGCTAATTAACTTGATTATTTGTTCTTTACCATTATCTTATTATTTCCAGGCGATTCATTCTCTCCAAAAGACACCCGCTACCATCGTAACCCAAACAATATATCATTCTCAAAACCGAACTAACCAAACACTTGCGCACGACCATCTAATTACATCCTAATCGTTCTTCAACCTTCGCACAAACATTACACCTTTCCAAATACTTGCTATCGATGACGAAAACTTTTAACCCTTTCGTGACTAATATTACACATATGTCCCACTTGAGTACTCGAAGAAAAATGAATCTTAATTCAGTATCAGTTCACGATCGGTAGATAAATAATGTAAGAAGAAAAGTGCTCCGATCAACAGCCTGCTCTCTTCTCTTATCCATCATCGTCATATTCTCAAACAGTCCATCGGATGCTTGTTACGAATTTAACCAGGCTATCGCCAATAAATTCGGTTCGCGTTAAAGAGACTGAAAGCCGAGGGCCGTTCGGCGACGAGATCGTGAGCCGAAAAGTTCTTCAGTCTGGAAGGCGCCAGACAGGATAACGTGGCCAATCAGTGAGCCGCTTCCATACGAGCTACGAAACACCGTCGTTCCATTAGAGTTAATCTCCGGTCCTCGGTAATTAAACGGTTTCGTTGTACCTTTGTTTATCTCCGCGAGGAGCTGTTCCAGCTTCTTCTCGTTCTCTCTTCGTCTCTCCCTCTCCTCCGCCCCTCTTATAGCAAGAGTGCCCTATCCCCTCGGTAGCCCGTGTATCACAGAACGAGTCGGTTCAATCGGGACACAACTCGATCGGTTGTTGCACGATTAACGACTAGAACGGCCGACGATGTCGAGCAAAGATTTCAGATAACGGCAGTTCTCAGCCGCAATCAACACACCCGATCGATTCGTTTATTTTCCGCTCGTTACCACCGCGCCGCGGTAATTGTAGGAAACGCGCCTTATCTGTCCGCGTTCGGCCGCTTTCCAGCCAATTTACGATTTCACCCTTCTGTCCGCGCGTTATTAAACGGCTACCGATACGCTATCCGGGAAAACGATCGAAAAACAAGTTTTACTATTGCTCCGATTTTTGCGAAAAAGGGATCGTCTATGATTTTTTCAGAAATTCACTTTGCGCTCTGTTTCACGTCACGCTGAATTAATTTCAGGATTGTTTCTACGAAAAATGACTCGTTTTTTTTTTTTTCAGAAATTTACTTCGTGCTCTGTTTCACGTTTGTGTCTTGTCCTAAATTTCGCCGAATAATTTCACAATTGTTTTTCTATCGATTCTTGAATCGTAGACTTTGTATTTGGTCACGCATATTTTATAGCTATCGGGGTTCAGAATTGTCCACCTTCGATGTTCTAATTGAGGAACATGTGCGTGAGGTTTCCTCCAAGCACCGTTCTTGAGGTGTATCATACCGAATGCAAATAAATGGCAATTGGTTACGGATAATTGCAGTCGGACTCGTTGTATTTTGAAATGTGAGACTTGAAGTAATCTCCAAGCTAATAACAGATAGTGTAAGTGGGAAAACTTGTTATGCATAGTTTTAGATTCATTTAACGACGATGAAAAGTAATGGATAAATAGCATCGTTTAATAGGATTTCAGATTTTAACGTGCACAGATACTCGCGTATAATTATTATAATTTCATTAAAACGAAACGAATTTTTAGGTGGAGAAATATTTCTTTCAATTATAACGTCCTGCTAACGTTAATTGATAAACTTCCGTTTAATAAATGTCACTCTAGTTTTCGTACACGTTGTATAATAATAAAGTTATTAATCAAACTTTACAGTATACATCGTTTTAGTTTTCTGAAAAATATACTTTTTTTCTTTTTTTGCGTGAGAAAGCGTTCAAACGCAACATTTCGAAACGATTATGATATTTTTCAAGGTATAAATGGTTATAATTTCCTCGAAACTGGTTCCTTTACGCAACACGCGTAAACTTCTAAAGACCGGTGGCAGTCAGGCAACGTGTCTCCTCGTGAATTATATCGCGATTCGACCTATCGAACACCAGAAAGTACCTCGTTAATTTGACTTTTTTGCTCCCGCTTTCGGATTGGGCAAGACTACCTGAACTTCCTGTAATTTCCTTCGACCGATATCAGTTTCTCCTTTCATGGATACCTTTGTTTCGTGGAAGTTTACTGGCTATAATACTGGTAGAAAATTTCCTTGTTTAGAGGCTTGTTTTGCATTGTATACGATCAAGGAAATTGGAATTGTTCGTTTAGTAACGTGGAAATTAAAATGGAAAATTGGCTCGAAGTGTATCGTGGAATTCTCATTTTTGTGAATTGTAAGAAAATTGATAACAAGTAATAATTTAGAACAATTGTATAATTACCGGGGAGAAAATACTTTAGTAAGAAAAATTTTTAACGTTTAATGAAAAGTGAATATGAACTGTGAAAGTTTGCCATCAATCTACACTTTTCCAATTTGTCTTCTTTTCTAAACCTAGCTTAATACTCTCGTCCAACCTGTTTCAAAGACTAGGAATAAAAAGAATTTAAATTCTTTAACAAATTAACATTGGCTCATAATTCAGCAATACCGATTAAAATTCTGTATTTACCCGAAGGATAAAAATCACCCAAATTTTTAAGAAAGAGAAGAAGAAAAGTTTCGTTACATCGAACGAGCAATTAATTTAGAATTTTTGTTACCGGATAAAATTTGCCTGGTTTCCAAGGATGAGAATTCGCTGAATTCGTTCAGGGTGGAAAATCGATAAGATTTAACGGGATGCCCCTTTTATTAACGATAGCAGATTCGATTACATTTAGCTGGTTCCGGCGGAAAATCAACCGTGGCTACGCCGCTGTATCAGTGACAGCCGTGCCTACACCCGTGCAAGTAATTAACGCGGTTAGCAATTAATAATTGAGGGCGCCGTGCCGATTACATTTTGCAGCCCCGGCACAGCCTCGCCCCATTCGCTGCGGCCGGCATAACAGTATTCTCTCGCAACCTGGGACACATTACTCTCATCGTTATCCCCCTATCGTCAACTATAACTTTTGGCTAACACTTCGTACACTTTGCCAACGCGTATCCTAAACTTGATTTTATCTTTCGCGACGAGTATTACGGAACGATTAGTTTTATCAGCCTGCAGTTCTTATTTCTTTCTCTCTCTCTTTTTTCTTTCTTTCTTAAGTTATATTAAGATTGTGCAATTTAAGGAGGGTACGTTTGGTAGCAATTGTCATTATTTAGGAAGGTAATGCGGGAGTAGTTGCATTTAGTATTCGATATACTGTATTATCTATCGGTTGTATAGATCTTATCGTGTTGTTTAATTCTTTATGATGTTGTTACGAATGAGAAAGTGAGAGTAAAGGGTTAGTTTTATTTGTTTGTAAGAGTAATATTAATACTGTTTTGTGTAGATGTGTGATAAGTTTAATCACTTTCTTGAAAGTAATTGGTACTTTCTAACACGCAAAGTAGGTAATATTAAGAACTTTCTTTTTTATATCAAATTTAGTAGTTATGTATATCTTTAGTTAGGCTGAGTATTGTGTTGGTGTAGTACAATAATTCGAAGGTCTCTATATAATACACCTAAACACACCGGAAGAGGAAAAGAGTATACTCCATTCAACTCCAGTTATTCTACACTTAATTCTGATACCGAAGTACTCTCTGCACCAAGAAAAACTCCATTCTACGTATCTCCATATCAATAACAATAAATAACTGTCCCAAGTCCATGGTTCACAAGGAGAACTCGTAGAGACCCTTAAGAAAACCATAATCACCCACATAAAAATAGTTTGCCGTGGAAAAAGGGTGACGCGAGGGGTGAAAAGCGTGGGCTTCTTTGGTCGCGCGACGATTTCCATCCGAGTAAGGAAACCGAGTCGTTTGCAGCTGCGCCGGTGTTCGTGTTCGACCGGTTACTGGCGTGATCCAACACAGTGAACGATGAATCTTTAACGAAGTGAATCGCGGTGGGGTCGAGAGCGGCGCAACGCGGCGCGGCGCGGCGGATCGAAACGATCCGAATCGCGGATTCGAGGGTTTGACACTTTAAAAGCCGTGGCAAGAAGCCCGAGGAAGAGTCGGCGACCGGACTGGTTCGTGTGAGACGACGAAGGGGTGCGGATCCTCCAAGAGACGGAGGGAGAGCCAGCAGTCAAAGCAGGGGCGGACGAGGGAGCGCGATGGGGAGGATAGACTGCATTATGTACGGGACAGGGCTAAGCTGTTAGGTGTCTGAATTATTGAGGCCAAGTTATCTCATCTCTGCCTACAGTCATCTCGTTACTTTAAACGCAGCTGCTCGCTGGACCGCGCCACGGATGCGCCGATTTGAGGCACAGGGGAACAGCCTGACTTTTTCTCTCCTCTCTGATCTATTTTCTTTTCAATTGATTCATGCTGCTGGTACATCCTACCTTTGATCTATGGTTAACCCATTGAGATTTTATTACGAAGTAGGTAGTACACCGTTTGAAAAGTTTAAACGAAATACTAATTACTCGTTTATTCGGCGATGTCTATTTGATGGTTTCGTTTCTTGCGATACACATGTGCCAAAGGTTTTTATAATTTTAATAGCACCGGTGGAAAGAAATTTCTTGGATGGCTTTTAGCTCTTTGAATCAATTGAATCAAAATGATCTGGGAAATAGGAAAGAGTCTCACGATGCTTGCTTAGGTGAATATGGCGATGAGACAAAGATATATAACAATGAAAATAAAAATTTTTCAACTCAAATGTGAAATAAATTTGTAACATGAAAAAGTGATGTAGTTTTTAATATTTTATATTAACGAAAATTTACTAAACATTTGAATAAATTATTAATTTCATATCAAATGAAAGAATCGTAAAATCATTTTAAAACAGCCAAGGTGCATTTTACAAAATTGTAGAAAATTGAATACTTGATATCTTTCGTTTCAACCGAAATATTTCCGAAGTGTACGAAATATTTGGCAAAATCGAGAAACTTTCCAAGCCACGTGGATCCTTTAAATTTCCCACATTTATTTCAACGCGTTGCCCGCCATATAATTCCATGTTCGAGATTAATTATGATCCACTTGTCGTTTAGATGTAAATTTAATTCGATGGGACATCTAGACGAATGTATCTGTCACGGCGTTACTGTTTCTGAACACATTGAGACAGATAACACACGTCGTCGCCGCCCAAATCGAATTTCACGCTCGCTCCTCGAGCGACGACACCGACTACGTAATAAAAAGACTTATAAAATTTCAACTCGCTCCCACGTCTGAAACGGTTCGACGAATAACCGCAAACCGGATGAAAAATTCTTACGAGTGTCGCGATTTAACGCTAAAAAGGTCAGCTTGGTTAAAATGGCATATTGCTAAGGTTGTTATAAGAATTCATCATTTTTTGCCAATAAGTATCGTTACCTACGGTATTTCCAATTTAAAGCAATTTAACATTTCGAATATTTGGTATTTTGAAATTTTATAAATTTTACGAATTTATCATTAACTGTCAAATAGTTTTATTTAATAGAGTTTCAAAATTACATACTACAAACTTTCATATTAAACGAGGATTATTTGCACAATTATTTTTAATTCATAGATAAATACTAAAATTGGGAATACGAAATATTCTACGACCCGTGAATAAAGTATTGATGTTCTCGTGTTCAGAGCAACGAGAGCTCAATCTTTAACGATTGTTTCGAAGGTTTTAGAATATACGAGACTTTCAGAAGTGAAACTGATTAATTCCACTTTTCATCATTTTTCCAATTTTAATCAATTTTGTTCGATATGGTTAGTTTTAATTTTGTTTCACGGAGTTAATCTAAATGCAAATCGAGATATTTCTACACTATTGCGTCCATCTATCGATTACGATACTTGATTTCTTTTCACGCAGAAAAGAACAAGGAAGACACGTTACAGTTTACCGTTTTGCAATCGACATGATACCCCGTTTTCCAGAAAGAAATTACCATTCTTCGGTTTCCACGTAAGAAGCATAATTTTCAGTTTTACGCGCTTTATGACAAACGCGATATTACAGCGAAAGACAAGAAACCGCGATCCCGATACAACGGCATCGAACTGTTTTTGCTGCGAGTCCTGTTATCGATCTCTTATTAGATCGTTACGAACCTTCTAAAGGCGTTCTCCACTGGTTTTTATCGGCCGTGTTTTACATTCCTCCTTTTTACCTATTTGCCTCTTTATTACTTGGAGGCTTCCGGAACAATGCGAGAAGTAACGGCACCGTGTTTCCACAAAACTCCACGGACTGTTGTCCATAAAACGGCGGATAAATCGGCGCTCTCACGGGAAATCTTGATTACTCGGTGGTTGCCACCGATATTTTTCAAAATGAAGAATTGTGGGAATGAAGCGTTTCCCGTGAATGTCCATAGTAAATACACTCAAACTTGAAAAAGAACGCTTGAGACTGGACTGGAGAAAAACTATTTCAAGAATGTCCCTTTTAACAAAACTTCGACAAACTACAAATTCAAAAACGATCTACAGCACACCTTTCTTAAAGTACCGCTGCTCTATCTCACGTTACTCGATAACGCATCGCACTAAAAAGCACCACTGATCCTCAACACTACTAAATACAAGTTCTTTCAAAAATACGCAGAGACAGAGATAGATCGAGACGTTTGTCTTGAAAACCTATTCTCCCTGGTTCGAAAGTATAGTCATCTCTCTATCGAAATGTTTCCCGGAACGAGCCAAGGACACGCAACAGGAGGACGCTTTTAGAAATCCTGAGAAAAGGAGGAACTATTAAGCGGGAAAAAGAGGGGAGCGTGTTGCACCCCCGAAGAAATGCCTCTGGGCTCGTCTCGCCGAGTAGACGCCCCTGGTATCGAGTACCCGCGCCAGGAACGGGCCCCGCTTTATCTAAATGACGTGTTTTCGTCCTCCGTTATCTTGAAGAGACTCTAATACATTCGACTTTCGATGCGTCCTCACCGATACAGAAGACAGGACTCTGGCGACCCGCTATTAACATTCCGGCCGCGGTTTCCACCTCGCGTTTTCCCTTTCGACTCCTCTCGAACGCGAAATTTCATAAATTGCGAGTGACATGGGTCATCCTCGTGAACACTGGTTACCAGGAAATTGGCGCGTGTTTCTTCGCTTGTCGCGTTTCGAGTAACGATCAAGAGAATCAAACTGGATCGATCAAGTTGTTAATGTTCGAGTGGAAGAAATTTTATTTGAAATAATGTTAAACAGTGATAAAAACTCACCTCCATTTTGTCCGTCTGTTCTGAAACCAAGTCTTCACTTGGGCGTCCGTCATCTTCAAAGATTTGGCCAAGGCTGCCCGTTCCGCCGACGCCAAATATTTCTGTTTGTGAAAACGTTTTTCCAGTTCGGCGATTTGTAATCTGGTGAAGCTCGTTCTAGGCTTCTTTCTCTTCGGCGGGGT